TTATCGACCTAGAATGATAAATTTCTCATTATCAAAAAAGTGCCTATTTATGAGTTTAACTTATATCCTATTTTAACTGAAATTCGAAGTCTCAAAAATAAACTAAATCGATGAATAGTTTTACCTTTAGCACCCGATTGAATCAAAAACTGTAAATTATTATCCGGGAATTGTTTGAACAAATTCGACATACATTTTTTAATGATTTGATTTTGATATTCATCAATGGACGTTTTATAATTCAGATCCATTTCTTTTGATGTACGTTCATCAAATACTTTTGAACAAAATACCTTAGCAAATTCATCGTCCAGTACCTGTTGATCAGAATTTTCAGGAATAGAAAATGTTTTTTGTAAAGCTTTTTGACCAGCGTGAGCACGACATTCATTTATTAATTGACGTCGATTCGATACACCAGGTGGAAGTAAAAGAACATCTTAAAACAAATTTTGAATTATAAATCAAATGGCTAAAGATAACTCTACCTTCAATACCAAGTGTAAATCCTCGATAATACTGTAAAAACAGTGTAAATAATTTCGAAAATGCAGAAATAAGATCAGCAGCACAACGTTTTCCGTATAATTCATAATAACAATGAACAACAGACGCAAGTGTTGCACCACAATGTGCCTTATCAATTAAACCCGATAGAAGATGCCCATGACGAATAATAACATCAGTATCAGCCATCAAATCAATATTTGTTGCATTTGGTGTTGATGGCCACGACTAAAAATAAATAAATTGATATATTTAATCTTCCTTATTATACGTCACAGTTTGCTTACTTTCATGGAAAGTTTTGATTTACTATCGAGATTAAGTGGTGCTTCATTAGATGGTTGAATATAAAGAAGAACTGTTGATATAATCTTTGAAAAAATAAAGAAAATCGATTTTCTTTATTACAAGAAAACAAACAATAGAAATACTTGTTTTCCACTCCATAATTGTTTTGGTTTCCAAATACATGGTGGTAATAAATTAATTTTTTTACGAGAATTCGATCCAATAGCACTGTACACAAGTTGCTGATAATCAGTTCTTTTAAAAACAAATTATTTTTTATTGGTTTACAACAATATGTAAAACAAAAATACTTTTCAAAAAATCGATCACGCATTGTTAATGCTGTACCAGCAACGACATGATCTTGAATAAGACCAGTTAGCGGTGTTCCATCTTTACTCACAAGAAAATGTTGATAAGTTATCACTAGATGAGAAATAAGAATTACACAAAAAAAAAACTAAGTTTTCTATATGAAAAAAAGCCTACTTAATTCAGCAGCTTCAGCTCGTGCCAATTCATTTTGTGGTAAATGAACATTCATTTCATCTCCATCAAAATCAGCATTATATGATTTACATTGAGCATAATGTAGTCGTAAGGTTTTTTCACCGGGTAATACTCGAGACTATAATAAATTATTATAAATATATATATATTTTTTAACTCATTAACACAAATTTACCATATGAGCTTGTATACTCGGTCGATGTAGTGTTGGCTGACGATTAACAAGAACATAATCACCGTTTCGAAGATGTCGGTAAACTTTTTTAGTTGACATTAATGTTGTATTACCATGCTGTTTTTCTCGTGTTAGTAAAAGTTTAGCAACAGCTGTTCGTTGAGATAAATTATTTGGTAACAAACGACGAATTGTACCATCTTCAAGTTCAACAAAGTTTGCTCTAAAATAATCAAATAATTTTAATTATCTCATTTATAAGCGTTTTATTATTTTTTTCTGTCTTTTATACCCCGGATGAACATCTGGTCCATTGAGAATTAATTGACGTAATTCATGAACATTATGTGGTGTAACTAATTCTGGATAAGTTAATTTTTTAGCAAATATCTCAGGTATTCCAACTTCATAAATTGCAATAAATGGATCAGGCGAAATCACTGATCGACCAGCATAATTGACACGTTTACCCATCATATGCATACGAAATAGACCTTCTTTTTTTTCAATAACCTTTTTTATTTTAAAATAAAATTAATCTTTCAATAAGAAAAAATTGTGAAGAACAAAAAACAAATAACATACTTGTCGAATACCCTTAGCTACTCGATTACCACTTCGATTATCTAGTGAACTATCAAATATAGAATTGACAGTGATTTGCATTTTAAGCCAAAGATTATTCAGCTTTTCTTCATTTGTTGAACCACGTAAAGTATTTGTTAGAGATGATGATCGATTCTAAATTAAGATTTAAAAAAAAAGGTAAAGACTAAGTATTTAAAATATCCTACTGCATTCGATGTCAATGTGTCTGTAGTTTGCTGATCTTTTAATAATAGAAGTTCTTTTATTAATTGATTATCTTGAATAATCGATGAATATCGAACTGTTTTTGGGTTTTCAAATTTTTGATCATTAAATGACAAAACCTGAACATAGATAATTTTTTTTCTTTCAAATTTTAAGAAAAAAAGATAATTAAAGACATACGGGACGAAATTTTGATGGTAGAACAGGTAAAACTTCAAAAAAGAATAAACTTATTGGATTATTATGAACATGTGTTATTGAATGATGTGGTGATCGTAAAGTAGCCAAATAGACTGCAAGAACTTCTTTTTCGTTTGACCACATTTTTTCCAAATGCTTTAAGACATCTAATGGTGTTAAATACATTTGACTTGACATCATTTTTGTTAGTATTTCTTCTTCGTCATTAATTATCGATTCATCATCATCATCATCGTTGAGTTTTTTTGATTGTCTATAATCAAACGAAAATTATTATAAATTATCAAACATCCAAGACTAATCAAATGAAATAGGATTTGCTGATCTGAATGAGAATTTAAGTTCAGATTTTTAAAATAGACTATTGTATATTTTTATGTCTCGTTGACGACTCTATAGCAACTTCAACAAAAATGAGCAAAAGGTTACAGATTATATCGAATGATCAGTCGAGATCGATTCAACAATCTATATAAGCTGATTAAAAACTTATGGAGTGGCCTTTTACCGGTAACTATAACCCAGTGAAACTCTAAATTGTTGTAATAATTATGTGATCTTTACAAGGAAAAGTTTCAGAGTGAAATTCTTTAGTTTGGTTGTTTTCTAGAAGATAAATAGTTCTGTAATACAAAAATGTTAATACTACAGAAAACAAATCTTTTTTGAACTTTCATAGTTTTTAACAAGTTGATGAGGTTCATTTGAACCTATAGATATCCACGAAAAGTAAAGTATGAGAAGCACGTAAAACAGTGAAGTTGATAATTACTATTTTCATAAAACATTGGTACTATTTATATGCTTTTTATTTGTGTTTTATGTTTCATTCGAGTTCAAATTTATAATTTTAATGTGATAGACTAGAAAAGACTGCAAATCTCTCCATTTGAAAAAAAATATCCGTCTAACTAGCCTCACTACTGAACATTTGACGATTTTGATATGTATCTATTCTACTTTGTATTCTTCATTGTAACTAATTGATATGTGAGAAAACTCGATACTTAGATTTATTTGATTATTGAAAAGATAATACTTAATTTTGAATTAGAATATAAACACGAAGAAAACTGTGTAGAATACTTGCCTAACACTAGACATTCGTTCTTGATAGGCTTTTATTTGTTTATTCGAAACTCCTTCAGAATAGAAAAGTTTCGAATGTGAATCTGCACGAAGTGCACGTACAGGTGCATTACAATTGGGACAGAATTTTTCTAAAACATAACACTTAATTCAAACAACCGATCGATGATATATTAAAAAAGTACAAACTTTTTGTTTTGAATGCACGTGTTTCGAATTCTTTAATAAGTTGTTGTCGAATAGCTAATAAATTTTTCGTTGTTGCTTCTATTTTTGTTGACGATGCCGGATTTAATTTCATATGTTCATTGATCTGTTCATAGAATGTATCTAAAGATTTTTTTTCTAATACCCAAGTTTTATAGATCGATTGTATATTATCTATTTCATTGGTTTGACCATGCTTTAAATAAAGCATTTGCATACTAAATAAATATTTTTCTGCATTGGTACATTGAATTGTATGACAATGAAGACAACAACCACGAAGTACCTTGAGAATCACAACAGAAAGAAAAGTAGATAATATAAAACTTTCTTATTTTCATTTACATTGACGAGATTTCGAAAGAATACTGGGTTATAAACTGGTAGAACAAGAGATATATGTCCAAGATGACCTGGACAAGAAACAAATCCTTGGCCACAAGTAAAACAGCGATCATTTTTATCAAAAGGCCCTAATGCTAAATCATATGGACCACCGGATACAGGTGCACCGAGACGATCAATTGCTGATGATGATGTTAATTCTTTAACACTCAAACGACGAATTTCTTCAGATGTATAATTGCTAAACAGAAGACCACTGATTGTAGTATCTGATGGATAATAGTTTATTGTATCCATCTTCGTTTTTGCTTTGAAAATTAATGAAATTTAGATTCACTGAACGAATTTGAGATCGATCTAGAACGCGAATGGCTTGTTAGAGTGAACCGATTAAAACTGACGAAGAATTTTTCATAGATAAGTTTTGATAAAAATTAATTTTAACTTCAAGACTGCTTTCAAAATGTATCAAAAAGTAAACATGATAAAGTTGCACATACTGTTAAAGAGGACGCAACAGGACAACATTATATTACTCGTTATATGTCGTATATAATGATATAAGGCTCGATCATCATTGTTGAAGAGTGCTGCCATCTATTAAATCTATTTTTGAGTTTGATTTTGTATCACTATCAAATTTAACAATTTTTCATGTGAAATAATATATACTTTTAGTATATATATATATATATAAATTGATGTTTTATAATGAATATGCATCAGTAAGGTTTTCCGCTATTAACTTTCCATTGGTGATGTTCGATCCGTATTCTTACATTGAACTAATGTCAAATCGAGTTTATTCAATTTAGTTTTGTTGTGTTGTTGTCTCACACTTCTAAACCCAGAGCCAACAAGAATAATGACCACATTACCACCTATTCAACCGCGTCCAATTTTCTGTAAAGCAGCAACAAACAATGTACAATCATCATCTGTTTTTCTTACTCACTCATCGGCTCAGCCTTCAACTTTAACTAACACTAATTTTCATTCAACGAATACTGATTTCACAAACAATAATAATTCTTCTTCACAAGCTCATCTTCCTTCTTCGGCACCATTATCACCATACGAAGAATTTTTGAAGCGTCTTCGAGAGTTTCATCGATGTCGACAGTATGTATCTTGTAGAATAACAAATCATACGTATTCGTATATCTGTTTGTAGAACAACATTTCGATGTTTACCAACCATCGCTGGACAAGTTGTTGATTTACAAGCATTATACACAAGTGTTGTTACACATGGTGGGTGGGATAAAGTAAATGATCGACATTTATGGTCATCTGTAGCGAATAATTTTGGAGTTGACTCATCATGTCTTAATGGAACACAAGCTTTAAAAAATATTTATATTCGGTAAGATTACTAAAGAATGTGTCTTATAATACTATTTATGTCAAGCGTATATATATATATATACATGGGCTTGATACGATGCAATGTTTTGTTTTTATAAAACACTAAAATATATAGCTTTCTCGTATCTATGTTGCTAAAATATGAAGCAATGAAAACATGCCAACTGATTGCTTTAGTCATTTAAAGATTGATGCGATTAGTTTTGGAAAATTTTCTTATTAAAGTAAAATCGAATCCTAAAAAAGATTGCTCTAGATTTTTTTTATGAGAGTTACTATAGGCAAATAATGACGATTGTTGAATTCTAACAATTCATTCGTGTTTGAATAAAACTATTTACGATGGACTATTCACACTAATATAGCAAACTATGTTTAGTCTACGTGAAATATCTGTTACATTATTCTATAGTTTGAAGTATTCTCTATTTTGTTCCTCCGAATTTAACCTATACTGCCTCTTGTTCTTTCACGATAAATCTAACTACATTGGCACTATGATTGAATGTTTGGATATATGCTATGCTAATTGCAATACTTTCTCCTGTTTTTGTTCAAATTTTGACGGTTCGCATGCCTTTATTTTTCTTTTCTAAAGACTGCGTGGAAATAAAAAGACAATCTTTCGTCTTAAACAGGTGAAATGTTTGGAAAACCTTTTTTAAAATTTCACTTTGTAAGTGTTCGTTTTTGACATACGATTACCTTTGTAAGTTGTTATTGTTATCATAACATGAAATTCAATGGATTAATAACGTTTCACTTTTGAAAAACATTACTTCAAATCATTTCACTCGTATATAGATGAGCGGCACCATATCTTTCAGTTACAATTTCATATAACACTAAATAGTCTTCAATTGTTTAATGCAGACGTTCCGAACGCCATGTGTTTATAGTACAGCTTATCTAGTTTTCAACACTCAGATAGATACTAACAATATTTTTGACTTGAGTTTGAGGTCTGTACTAGAGCAATTTACTTTTATCTAGATTAATCTCTAATTTCTTGGATACTAATAGAACTTTTAAGTATTTAGATCAGTTGAGGTTCTAAATATAAATCAATTATAAAACCTATAACGTTTTTCAATGCACTGTGAAATGTTTTGAATCTGCAATAAACAGAATCGTTTTTGCATGATATTTTCGTGCTACAGCGTTAGTGTTTTTATTTTTAATTCATATTATGTGCTGTATAAGTTTAGGAGACTTTACGCAAAGTTTTCAATTTAATTCAGATGATATGTACTCAAGATACATGTCTACATTTGTTTTTGTTTAATATCAGCTATTGTGGCATGAGTTTTTGATTTGATAGACAGAAGGCAAGGCAACAATTTTTAACAAAAAAGAAAACAATTCTACATATTATTCCTTAGAAAGTTTCAAGTCATTCATACTGTAGAATGCATATTTAATCAATTAGAATTGAATGCTTTTTTGAAAACTCATTTTTACTGCCTGTTTTCTCGCTTTGAGCAGTAAAACTTGTCCAAATTTATATGATAGTCTCGATTTAACGTTTAGACCTTTGAATCTCATAGAACAAAAAATAAATAGGCAAGTTTCATCATTCTACCGCTTATACTTTTTGAAATCCGATTAAGATCTATTTAAAGCAAAAATTTGTCGTTTTTAATCAATTCTTTGTATTAGATATTTGTATGCATTTGAAAAAATAAGTAACGGTGAAAATATAGATTCACGTGATAATGATGATGAAGATGCTAAACGACGTAATGTTTCTCAATTACAACGTGTACCACAATCATACAATCATGCTCAACATGCTGTTTCTGGTACGCAAATTTTTTCCAAAACAAAAAGAATATTTTTCAAATTATAATTTCATTGTTCAATAGATTCAGTACGTGCTCAATATGGTCTTTTTCGTGATTTTGTTCGTCGAAGTGAATATGAAAAATTAGAATTAGCATTGATGTGTGGCTTTCCAAATGAATTAACATTTACATTAAATACTTTAGTATTACTATCATCGACAACAAATCATAATATATCATTTCATTTGCATAAATGTCCACGGTTATTAGATATACTTTTTCGTCATGTTGGTTTATTTTTATCAACTGATAATTCCATTGACGATCACTTTCTAAAAATTCTATATGATAATATTTGGTCAAAACATTTAAACTATCATATGGAACAATTTTGGCTTGATTCATGTTCACCAGAAATTGTTAAACAATTATTAAACATTGATACTAATAAAAATCATAAATATTTATATAATAACTTTAATTTTAATTCAAACGTTAATCAACAACAACAAGAACTTCGTATTGAACAAATTTTAATGATAATACGTAATCTTTCATTTGATCGGGCAAACGCTATTTATTTACTGGATACAATCCATTCATCATCATCTATAACGTATATTTTTTTATTATTAATTTCATATTCTGAGAAAAAGGTTGAATTACAAAAATATGCTTATGATATATGGAGTAATTTAGCATCATATATGCAGTTACGTTTAATTAGTAATGATGAAGGAAGTTTTATTCGACAATTAATAAATGATATGTTAAATGGAAATGAAGATAATGGACAACAAGACCGTTTGAAAATTATTCGTGCACTTGAAATTATCGCTAATTTAGCTCATGCAGGAAATGATAATGGAATCTATTTGATTGATTTTATTAATATCATTATTGAAAGACTTATTCATGTATCCGATATACTTATTTTAGTGCATACCCTTGAATGTTTATATCAATTATCAGAGTTAGGTAAGTTTTATCGATAGATATGTAGTCAATATGAAAAATATCAAGATAGTTTTCGAAATATTTGATGGTATTCGTATCATTTCAATACATCAATTCGAATTTTTAGTGTACCTCAACAAATTGAAAATCAGCGAGAATTCGAATTAAATTCATGACTGTTATTTTCATTAGATGAAAATCGATTGAATATACAATTAATTTCTAGGTGAACAATTGTGCAATGCTATACTTAAAGTGCAATCATCGTCATCGATAATTACTACATTAATTGATTTATTAACAATTGAAGCGCGAAGTTTTTCATCACAAACAATAAAAACAATCAAAATTGTTGAAATTTCAGCAGGTCCAGTACTGCTTCCATCTTATCATCAGCCACCATTAACACCACAAACATCAAATGTATCACAATCTGTTGTTGTTATTTCATCAAATCAACAACAACAACAACAGCAACAGCCAACATATGCCATTGAAAATACGGAAATTAACAAAAGTTATTATAGTAGTAATAATAAACTTATCGTACAGCAATATTCAAAACCGATGACTGTTGCCAATGTGATTTCATCAGGAAACCTTTTAACTGTTGCAACATCATCAACACAAAATGCATTATCATCATCAACACCAATCATAGTCACAAACGCAAATACACAGACGAATCAAATTATTGATAAAAAACGAAAACATGATTGTAAGTTTTCACTTCATTAATTTTCAGATTAGTCCTATTCAATCAGTTTAAACGTTTTGATAGTTAATATAATATCATAAGCGGTTCTTTTTAATTACTATCGATATAGGAGTAAAACGAAATATTTATTCTTACAACGAAATATTTTTAGCTATTTCGGAAACTATTGCTGCTGTTGTTAATGGTAGTTTATCATCTCCATTTCAATCATCATCATCATCAACAACTCCTCCACCACCAAAACGCTCACGTCCATCTCGTTCACGTTCTAGTGCAACAAAGGCAGGTGTGACTATTATGCCGACAACATCGTCTCGACTTGTTCCGTCATCAACAATCGACGATGATACAAGCAGTATGGAGAGTAATAGTACAAGTAACAGTATTCATTCGACAATGGCTGATTTACTTGATCGATGTTCATCCCCACCGTCGGTAACAAGTAAATTCGATAGTGATATTCGTTCTTGTTTGAATGATTTATGTTATCGTATTGCTTTAACTATGGACGAACCATTATCATCAACATCAATAGTTTATAATCCGATACCATCACCCGTATTTAAACGTAAAATTGAAGAACAATCACCATCAAATAAAAACCTAATTAATCATGCTGAAGAACAAACACCGAAAAAAAAGCGTAATCGACCATCAACAAAAAAATCTTCGTCAGATGTTACAAATGTATCAATGACAATAACTAAGAAAGAAGAACCAATCGAACAAGAAATACCTGATATTAAATTAAATATTTCAACATCAAATATAATTACGCCATCCATTACAAGCAATTCATCTGATTATATTTGTGCATGGGATAACTGTCGAAAGTAAAATATCAAATAGAATTTAGTTATATTATTTTTTATTATCATTCTTTTATTAGATCTTTTTCTAATGCAAGAGCTGTTTTTCATCATGCATGCTCGGTTCATGTTAAATGTTCAACTGATTATGTCTGTTTATGGTATGGATGTGATCGAATAAAACGACAAAAATGGGCTTTAATTAGTCATATTCAAGTAAATTCATATTGACCTAGTGAATTTTTTAAATATTAGTTTTATTTAAAAATATTTTTAAGGAACGTCATTGCTCGGAGGTTGCCTTTCGACAAGCAAAAATGAAATCAACTAATGCTACTTCATCAACAGTTATCCATACAAGTACAATACCATCGACGAACTCCGTAAACTACAATACATCAGGACCAGGAACTATTGGATATGCACCTGATGCTGCTTGGCTTGCTGTTCGTCGTCACATGCAAATGAATTCTTTCGATGATTTATCGGTATATTATTTTATTCTTCTATATTATTTCTTTTACTGAAATTAATAAAATAATATAGATAAAAAGTAAAGAAGGTCCATTGACAAAAAGTATTCGACTTACAGCTGCACTTATTTTACGTAACATTGCGCGACATTCATCCATTGGAAAACAGTATGTAAAATAGATAGAAAATTCAATGCGATAGTCGACTCTTTTCGAATTTCATTTAGAAATCTTCGTCAATATGAACAACATCTTGCAAATTTAGCTCTTGAACCGTCAGAAGCATCAAATATACTTAGTTCATGCTTATTTGAACTTTACAATTGATCGTGGTTGTCTTGTTTAAGTGTGACTTACGCTAAATTTCGGTACTTCTCTCGCTCTCTCTCTCTCTGTCTCTATTATATAAATGGATATATTTATGTGTATATATGTGCAGTCTATGCACGTATGATATTATTCTTTTTGTTTTCTGTACGTGAATGTTTCCTGTCTTTTCTACTATTTTTCTGTCTCTTGAACAACATGAAACTACAAAAGAGTGTCTAAAACATTGATGATTGATTCAAAATTACGTTAAGATAACAATGTGTTGTTGTTCTTTGAAAGATTTTGCATTATTGTATACTTACTTTGACTTCATATGTAAAAAAATAGTTTGATTGTTCTTAGTCGGAAATAAAAATTCTTTTGTTGAACTATATTTCTCAAATGAATCTCACACATCAGCATCGAAATTATATATATGTGTCTTATACAACGTTGATATTTAGACAAAATTAAATGGAGTTCATAGAAAATTTCAAAACAAAAAGTACGAACATAGCTGGTAAGCACAGCCTCTTGAGACACCAAAGTATAATACATATGAACTTTGTCCATGAAATATTTATGATCAAATAATCTAACGTAAGACTGAAATACTGTGAGCCCTGAACTCTTGCTTTAGTCATAATGTAAAGCAGAATAGTGCATCTTAATTATCTTAATATAGCTTATCAGAATGATATGACTTATTTGTCGAAGTGAGATCAACTATTAAGATTAAATGATTCATCTGATTACATCACGATATGATAGAAAGTTATTCATGAAATGAGCTGAATACGAGTAGTTTCATTCAAAATTTCATGGAACATATTTTTACAGACACACTAGCGAAAAATTTAAATAAAAAACAGATTTATTGTGATGCACAGTTTTTTTACTAGAAATTGAACTTTGTTTTGTCTGTAAAAACATGTTCTACATAGGTGCATTAGGTACAACAATACTTTCTTGCTAGTAAACTTTGAATAGTATGTAACGAGTGATCTAAACTCGAAAATAGATATCTATTGTTGGTTCTGTCTCGTTTTCTAGCTCCATCAAAGCTCTTGGATCTCGAAGATAGGAAGAATGTAAGTTTTATTTGACAATCATTTCTAACTTATCAAAGACGTTTAAAACGCTCGACACTCGTAGAAGTTTCTAGAATAGGTTAAGATCGAACCAATTGCTGTTTGAATCACAAATGAAGAAAAAACATATCGAAGAGTAATTTCGATTATTTCTCTAGAGGAAGAACATTACATTGCGACAGTTTTGAGTTTTTATTTTAATATTAATTGTCTGAAATATCTCTAGAGAATGATTTGAAGATACGTTTTCTTATCTAGTTACTTAAACAGAATAATTTGTATTCGACATAGATTTTTGTTTTCATTTTCTAATTTTTGAAGAAATACTTAACATTAACTGGAATTTTCAGTCCCAAGCTTTGAAACTTTTCTTTTAAATATTAGTTTCATACATTATTACACTAATCATTTAACTATCGAATGTTATATTTATCAAATAAACTCTTTCTATGGTATTTGAAATTAAAAAAAAGTCGTTCTCATTAAATTGTACGCAAAGATTTTTTTCTAAATTAATAAATAGTGTTGGTTTTTAAAATAATAAATTATTATTATTCATTCTAGTTAAACAGAAATTATCAAATTTGAATGAAAACTAATGTATTTGAAATAGCTCGATTTCTTGTAGAGCAAAATTCGAACTGGGAAAATTCATTACGTTTCAACTGAAAGTTCTACTTTTAATAATTGCACTTTTCACATGACTGTCGTTAATTATAGATTGAACAAGAAAGTATGGTTTTGATTCTTGTTAATCGACAAAATGAAAGTTACTATTAACAAATACTGAAAATGAGAAAACTATTATTTAATCTTCATTTTAACTTGAATTCATACATCGTTGCAACGAGAAAGTTGGATTTTTAAAATGATGAACGTTTCGTTGAAATCTTCAATTATCTATGAGAATATGATATTCTTGCATAGAGTTAATCATTAAACTTTCTGCAGCACTGAACAATAAAAAGTAAAACAAGAAATAGATAGATATGAAATATGCAATTCTTTTTACTTTCATAGATACTCTATATGATTTGTCAATTTTCATAATGTCATCATTTGTAATTATCTGGAAATGCATTACACAAAAAAAAGATGTTTTTGGATGTTTGATGACATTGTATCCATACAAAATAACAGAACGATAAAAAAAAGGTTGCTGAAATAGAGTTTTTTTTAAGATCTTTTATCGTGTGTGCATGACTTGCTTAAATAATAAACAATAATGTTAACTGTTTTCAAGTGCCCTTGGATTGAATACAGCTGTACATGTTAGATGTTTTAACGCCATTGATTGGATTTGACCAATCACAATAGCTATATCCGACTTTGTATAGAAATTATTCTGTAAATTTATAATTCAATAAAATAAAACGATGTTCTCTATGTCGAACTCAATTTAGAAATTTTTCAATTTTTCACGAGATACTCGAATGTAGAATATGACTTTTCACCAATTTGAATGAACAGCAAAGATCGCATCATTTATTATTGTCTATCATCTAGTTTCATATTATTAGTGATCTATTTATTTTTCATGCATACAAGAGTGACATATCAGGATGTCACAACAAATAGATTGTACTCGTCTTGTTTGCATTGATTCATTAAGTTTCGTCATGTCTTCAGACTTTAATGTTTACAGTTATACATGTTACATCTTGTTTAGTGGTTATCATTGTCGCGATTAAGATTTTGGTTGAATGTGCTTTCAGAAGTAGTCAAAGAAGAAACGGGAAAGGAACGAAAAACTCGATTATGCTTCCTTGTATATTTCAACTTCTGTAAGTTACATGAATATAGATACGTCAATAATCAAAATGAACTAATATTGTTATTTTTGTGTTGACATTCTATTACTTCCAATTGTTGTTTTGAGTATACTTGAGAGTGCCCATATGAATTTGATTCTTTTCAAGTGGTTTTCTTCAAAAAAGCTTTAGAGAGCTTTGCTAGTTATTTTTACTGAAATATTTTGTATAGAATTTATTCTACTGTTATTTTTCAAAGATCAATGTGTGGTTTTAGTAAAGAAACAGAAAATGTTCATCAAATTCACGATGAACCTATACAGAACAATAAGAGAAATAATGATTAATTAATAACTATTGATCATAAATTCATTGACGCATTATATTCATGAATAATATCTATGTCAAATAGCTTTTTATCTTTTTTTCAAGCTAGAATTTCTAAATACAAACATCAAGATTTTTATATATGTCCATAAATCATATCGATAAAGAATTTGTCGGGATTTCTCTTATTCTATGCTCGTTTTACGACACTCAACGAATGAATTGCCATTATCGACATACAAAAAGGAAAAAGACGAGTAGAACTTTATTAGTCGTGAATGTTTGGAAACATAGTTGCTTCGTATTTTGTTTTTTTCCCACACCCTCAATATTTTTATTTTATATTTGAATAGGCAATAATAATGAACTACATAGTATCAATAGCAAACATAAATGATGATGACAACTAAATCTATTGAGGCTCGTTCTATCTTCAATTTTCTTTTTGGTTGTTTACTTCACGCAAACATAATCTATATACGCTTCTAGCATACATTGGATACGATCTCATTTCCTGCGTTGCATATCATTAGAGCTTCCTATTCCTAAAAAAAATCCGCTTTTCAATTGTTATAGTTAAACTAAAGAATAACATAGCTATACGCCGACAGGATTATTACAGTTTCAATAGATGTAGAAGTGTTACTATCTTAATTCGTTTTTATGGCCTAGTTTTGGCATGGAAGTGAAATCTAATGAAGCTAAAAGAAATCATCAACAACATTTAACAAAATGATGAGGAGACAGATAGAGCGAGAGCGAGAATGAAAGAGCTGGAATAAATATTTCTAAAAACATCTGAAACTTACACGTCTGCGACAAAAAATGATAAGAACTTTGAGTGCAACATTTATTTATCCTTTTTTCAAATAAATTTTACTGTATTAAATCTAAAAGTAAAACCAGTGAATGGTACGTCATTTTAGGAAGAATGGATACTAGGATGCACACATATTCCTTGTATTACTTCCTTCTTTTGCAGCATTTTTCAATTCATACATGTGTGCGCGACTCTGATTTGTCGTTTTCTTTCTTCTGCATATATCTGTTTTCTGCATCTATGTTTATCTTTCTCTTCGACTCTCTTCAACTGATTTAATATTTCTGTCAAAATAAATGACGTCAAGTAAAGGTGACGGCAGATTGTTTGGTAGCACGTACATATACATTCAAGTGTTCGTATCATGTCCTATATTGAGTTTCATTCTTTAATTAATACCGCTTGCATATAACGATACAAGCATATACTTGTTTGACGCACCATCGATTTTCTTTATAAGTATAGTGTTGTCATATATATAGTTGTTTTTATTATGATTTTAAGATATAATAATGATGATGAAGACAGGTATGTTTTGTAATTTATATCTCTTTGCATGGTTTACGCAATTATGTAATAGGTTTCTAATTGAAAGAATCGCCAGTCGTTACTTCTGTTGTTAAAATTATTTTATAGATTTTAATCAATCGTTAAAATCATGAAACCATTTAATTCTACTGGTTATTGAGTTCCATTTGAATAAAAACGCAATGCTGATGTATCTAAATAGGCTTGCTAGAGTGCTTAAGCATACAAGTGTAACCATGTGTAGGGTAAAAACTTTCTTGTTTGAGGTGACATTTCCTCTTCATCATCTTGAGTATCATCATGAATTATCTTGATCGAATAGAAGCTTGAGGGTGATGATGAGAGCAAACTGATTGCACATGTACTGATTTCCGACGAGAAGAATCACATCATTTTATTCTATTTTTACATTTATTATGATTAGTATATTCACCGTCCAAATATATATACAGAGAGAGAGAGAGAGAGTCAATGCAGGTAGATAAATATAAGGGATTACGT